TATAATCTAAATATTTCAGTCAGGCATGCGTGCACGCAGTGGTATATCCAAGATTCTCTAGCAATGGCAGTGGATAAGAAGAGCGTGCTTTCAGGAATAGTTAACGCAGAGACCCTGCTATGGAAGCCATGAATGCTGCATAATGCTACGGTGCCGCGAATTTCCGTGATGAGATTGTATAGCCAATGCATTTGCGTGGGGTGCAGGCATCCCTTTTCCTGGAAAACTCAATAAAAGACTGCAGTTATAACTGTCTGTGCTGCTGTATTCTAGGCGATGCTGGCATGCTACCCCGGCAATGGTACAGGATACGTGAGACACATTGACAATCCTAACGGTGATGGGCGCGTGATAACATGTATTTACTACCTCAACAAGAACTGGGACAGCAAGGTGAGTGGATTCTCAGAAATGTGCTTGTTAGTATAATTGTCTGATTTTATAACTATTGATTTGAAATTGATTGATTGAGAAGAATACATGATGATTCAGTATTCGTTTTCTTCTATTTTTCCTTGTTTGAATATTATTATGGAAAGTTTTGTGATAACTTGTAACTATATCGACGTCTGTTTTTCCTATTTTAATACTTTATAGTCATTCTACCACACTGTGCTAGACCTTTACATTTGTTACGTTATCCAATTTCTCGTCCACCTAGTCAGTGGGACAAGGATTATGAGGATTTTTGTGTGTGCAGGAACATGGAGGTCTATTAAGAATATACCCTGAGGGACAGGATCGTGTGGCAGATATTGAGCCCATCTTAGATCGGTTGTTATTTTTCTGGTCTGATCGCCGAAATCCACACGAGGTCCGGCCTGCGTATGCTACGAGGTAAGAAAATTGTGCTGCAACTCAGTGAAATGTTTCCCACAGGCAGGTTTTAACGGTGGCTGAGCTGTTATTTTGGTTACAGTCCTATAGAACGAAGGTCCGATAGACCGAAGGCCCGATAGACCGAAGGTTTATTCGAATACGCAGTGGCTACACGTCCGGAATCGGTCGCCTAGCCTCCAGGCTACGCATTCGGACATCCACTGATGCCGTATTCGAACGCGAATATGCCGCACATCCACCGAATAAATCATATGATGCCACTATAAACCATATATATGACCTAACCCTAACCCTAACTCTAACCCTAACCCTTTGCAATATTCGGTCTATCGGACCTTCGGTCTATAGGGCTGGCTGCCCCCGTTATTTTAGGGAGGTGGTGTAGTACAGCACACCTTTTTTTATTATATACCTTTATTTTTATTTCATGAAATGTGAAATTATCATCGTTGGGACAATATCTTGAGGGCAACAACCTATATCATTTGTATTTTTAACTTATACATAGAATCATAGTAAAGCGATGCAGCCTAATGATTCGACGATAGCAGTCCGTACTTAATTTGGTCAAACCGTCTTTGGTTGTATGTGAAGATTTCTCCTATTTTTTATGGCATGGTGCATGTACCAGACCATTACAGCTGCATATTGCATATTTTATTGCATTATTTATGAGTGTAGCTTTATGATCTATTGGAACGTAGAAATGTACTGTTCAGCGACCGTTTGACCTTCAAGAAGAATTTTTTTACTTTTTAAAAATTTGCCGTAAAAGTTTTTGTTGAATGACCATGTCTCGTGCAATGACGACAACTTTAATCATTTAGGCCTACTTCATAAGAAAATGTCAATGTTAAAAATTCAGCTTCTAAAATTCAATAATTTGCAGAACATGCATCGATTTTAATCATATGTCCTACAGCATTGAATATGTGAGACTACGAGGATAGTATAGAAGAATTATAAATAGGGGTGGTAAAGGCAGAATATAATAATTTTATGTTGTTTGTGTTAATTTGCAGGTATGCGATTACAGTTTGGTACTTTGATGAAGAGGAGAGAAAGCAGGCACTAATAAAAATGCAGACTGGAGGTATTTCCATTCACATCCTTCCATCCATTCGTCCTCGTGAAAATTTTCAATAGTAATACTGTTTTAGTAGCTGTAATGTCTGTAATTTCTGGGGCTGACATTAGACAATAATGGAGAATTATTATACACTGTGTGATTAAAACCATGCATAGTGTGTATATGTCTCAGTTAGTATGACGTGAAACAAATCTCAGCATTTCAACCTGAATAACTAAGGCAGGTACGATGAAACAAATCAAGGAAGCCTTAATTTATTATTTGCCAATTCTCACGCCAAACTCAATTGGTTGGATGACCCTACCCCTTCTACAACACATTGTCAGTGTCTATTGTTTTGTCATTATTTGAATGATGTAAATGTGCAGCAAAATAATACATTATTTCTTTATTGAAGATATATTAGTAAAATTACATTCGTAAGGCAAGTTTTCAGCTTGTAAATTGTATTGTAGTGGATGAAGCTTTAATAAGCAATTATGTATGATTTTTGAGTGGTAAATAATATGTTTGTTTACTTGTATATCTTTCAGCACTCAAGAAAACATTGAAGACTTCCACATCTGTTCACCTGTCGCCATCTGGTGGTCAGTCCAAACGATCTCGAATGGAATAATCGGAATATGGTGCTGAAACCTTATCAGGGATATTGGGCAGCCTGCTCCACAATGCTGTGTAAACTCTCTAGTGACACTGTATTGATTTACTAGTATTTTTATTTTTATTATATCTCACTCACTCAGCAACCCAGCCTGCCTGGATAGTCTATCACCGCGTTCACACGGTAATGGTTTGGCTCGAGCTAAATGGGCTAAATTTGGCTCAGGCTAAATTTGGCTTGGGCTGGTTTGAGTCGGAGCGTTCACACGTACGCAAGTGAATACGCTGTCTGTCAAATTCAAATAAATGTTATTGCACAAATATCTCACAGATACTTTGGTAGTATGTCGCGAGATGGCATTGTGTACGATTCAGTGTTTACTTCCGTTCCGAGTTCAATTATCAATCTTGAAAACATGCATCCTGATCGAATTTTTCGAATTTTTATACTGTTTTGGACTTTATTTTGTCGAAGTACACATTCGACACTCGCGGCATCTACCGCTCTACCGATTTAGCTGGTGCTAAAATTTGGCTCGGGCCTGGTCAGACGTTTTCGATGGGACCAAATTGGCTCGTGCTAACTCGGCACGGCCCCGAAAAACCGTCCGTGTGAACGCTCGGCTTGAGCCAAATTTGGCGCGGGCCTCATTAGGCTCGGGCTAAAAACGTCCGTGTAAACGCGCCTAATGTGTCCTATTTCTGAACTTGAAAAATGGTCGGTGATCAATCTACTTATTTTATCACTGATGAACCTAAGTGAACGTAAAACAGCTGACGATTTTGCTTGCAATTTATCTAAATCTGCAGCCATATAGCTCACCACTTTGAATGGTAGCATATGCATGGCCGTACCCCCTAATTTGTATGCTTATCTAAAGATACCTTGCGTTGTTATCCGTATTACTTGTGATAAAACCTTCAATTTTAGGCAGGAAATAATCCTTTTTGTAGTCGAGTGGCTAATCTACACCTATATAATTATAAATGTGACATTCTGATCTCAACCCTTGTCCTTTTTTGTATGTCTGTGTTTTTAGCAATAATAACTGCGATTTCATTTGTTGTGTCCATTACCCTTGTTGTTATATATTGTAATGTAAGTGCGAGTGCAAATATGCTTTATAATAGGTTATTCATAAACACAACTAGAAAGAGATAAACAAAAATATTAGAGCAATATTCAATTGTTATGTTAAGCTCGTGTGGGTATATATGTCATATTTAGATTTTAATTTCATCCTGAGTGATTCGATTGTAGATGTATAATTACAAGTGTATATCAGCCTATCAACATTCTCAAGAGGCTAGCAAGCAATACGTTGTTATATTTGATGTTGGTATAATTGTTGTTCTTTTTTCTCTTGTTCGTGTTGATTGTAATCAACATGTGAAATTTGTAATTACACAAGTTTTGGTCGAGAGGTGGCAGCACAATGATGCACGGAAGTGGTCGCTGTGTATCGCGTGTGGTGGATTCACCGATCTCTACTATACTAACTTAGTATAGTAGAGATCAGTAGGTGGATTTCGGTGTCAATTTCCCCCGGGCATAGAGGGAGGGTGCCGCTACGTGGCAGCACTAATGTTAGGATTAGGGTCAGGGTTAGGGAAATAGAGAAGTATGACTGTGGAATGACGGAAGTGTACGAAGTGACTAGTGCTGCCACGTAGCGGCACCCTCCCTCTACGCCAGGGGGTCAAGTGACGCTGAGAGGGTCTATGTCCCCCAGGGTACTGCCGGAACGTACCCTGGGTACGGTACGGTCCGGTATACAGGAACGTACCCTGGTACAATCTAATATGCCGGACCGTACCTCGCCTACTCCACTAACGAATCTAGGGAGTCGCCTACGCCTACTCCCTAACCCTAACCATATCAGATAGTTACCAGGGTCTGTTCCGGTATACCGGGCCGTACCCAGGGTAAGTTCCGGCAGTACCCTGGGGGACATAGACCCTATGAGCGAAAGTGACACCCTATCACGTGCCAGCGTGCCAGGAATATGTGCTTTTCTACTATGCGCAATACCATCCAGCAAATTTACTGAATGATATTTTTGTTTTTACCTTATTATTGCTCGTATTGTTTCTAGGCGTATGTTCGTCTGTAATCAGAATGTTTCCTTTTTGTGTGTATACTAACATATATTATATATATAGCATTTAATTATTGGCAAGTGATGAAATGCAATGAGTTATGACTACTATAGTAAGTTGTGCTGATAGGGTCTATGTCTCCCTGGGTACTGCCGGAACGTACCCAGGTAACTATCTGATATGGTTAGGGAGTAGGCGTAGGCGACTCGTTAGTGGAGTAGGCGAGGTACGGTCGGTCCGGCATATTAGATAGTACCAGGGTACGTTCCGGCAGTACCCAGGGAGACAGACCCTGGCAGCGTAAGTTGTCAGTGTAGCGGGACTTCGCTGATGATGAGGATTTGTGCTGTCACCAGCTGCTTTACTTGTGCTTGTCCACTTATTCGTTTTAATATTGTTATGTGGACCGTGGTGACCACTGATAACTACATGAGGAGTTCTTTTGCATAGGCTGCATAGTGCCGCCAACCATAGTGATTTAGAACGGTGCCTCTGTGCTATTAATGGTGCAATTTATGTGTGCGTTATGTTTGGAATCTATTGCATCTTCGCATCTCAATAAGTGATATCTATATTTGTGTGTGTACATTGTCGTGTCTGTTATAAATATACGGATTAATGTTAAACTGTTGATATGTGATTAATGTCCATGAATTTGTAGAACCAATCTGCTTCTTATAGTTTTATATCTAATTAATATATAAAGAGTCCCATCAAAACCGAATCATCTAGGAACTACAAGGAACTCGCTCATACTACAAGCCCCGTATGACAAAAAGCGCTGCAAATTCTACTTCAAACTGAATCTGACCTCGCAATTCTACCTCGCATTGAGCTTATATACTCAAAATATTGACCATGCATATGCACAACATTCCATGTGAAATATTACCTAATATTGCATAACTAGGTAATTGTAAGCCATCAGGCATGTTTGTAAGTTGCAGTGGGGAAATTTCACTCACAAAATAGCCTAATGGGTAACGTCGTGGACGTCGTAGGCATTTGTTAAGGGCAGTGAAGGAACAGGGTGGAATCCCACTAGGGGAAAATTGTTTTACTTTTTTTGATTTTTTCATTTGATAACGCAAACACTAATGTTACTAATCTTTCTAATTTTATTCTGTTACTTAGACAGCTTAAAATGACATTAGATATGTATTAGGAATTATGATCACGGCTCTGCTTGGGTACGGGTGTTGCTATCCCCCGGGCGTGGAGGGAGGGTCACGTGATCTACTAACGAGTCTAGGGAGTCGCCTACGCCTACTCCCTAACCCTAATCCTAACACTAGTGCTGCCACGTTGCGGTAACCTCCCTCCACGCCCGGGGGATAGCATTACCCCTTGGGTACGACCTGGTTGGCCATCTGGTGGTCATCTACAATACTATGATCACTTTCATAGGTGCTGCATACGTCATAGTTATATAGTTATTATATCAATGTTATAGACTATTTCACACCAGGATTCGCACAACTGGATACTCACTATCATACTTACGAGACTTTATAAGATGTTTCTAAAACTTACCAAACGGGTTGGCTTGTTGGCACACCTCTTCAATGGGCTTTGACCTTCTTCATCTTCAATTTTTGCTTCAACATCTTAGCAGTGTTGGTCTCTCTTGTGATGCTTAATTGGCACACATTTTAAGATTTGATGGTACCAGAGTATTCTTGCAGTCGGTTCAGTCACGCCTATAGTTGGCATAAGTGCATTATTTGTGTAATAACACTTCAGTGTAACAAGGGCAATAAGCACTAATCCATCGAAAGATAGCTTCAGCATCGTTGTTTACTCGTGTCTTCGGCGTTATTTAGCTCTAACTGCAGCGTTGGTGTATCAATATAGATTCAACACTAGTATCTCGGTTGGCTCAGTATTACGTAGTGCCTAGCCTAGTGTCAGCATTAGTGTCACCTTTACTGCGGATTGGACTGGCATGTGAGCTAGGCAATTTCACAGTAACAGTAGAGATCAAGTTCAGACAACCAAAGCCAGGCTTCATGCGCCCAGTCATATAAGCACTACAGTGTGAGTAATGTCACCCACGAACCCTCAAAGGAGGTCTGCGATTGCTGTACAGCAGGTGGAAGATTCAACCACACAGCTTTTTAGGATCATATGCTGCAAAGTGCAGCATTTAGACGATGTACTAACAATTTTGGAAGCATTTTATAGCAAGCTTTTAGCAAGTTCAACTACAACTTTTCGCCCTGTATTGTAAAAATCAGTTCTGTGGTCACAATAGAAGTAGGTCTAGACCCCAACCGTTGCACTTCTCGATTTACCTGCACTTGCATGCCACTACGGTCAGTTAGATGTAGAAACCCTACACAAATCCATTGCAACTTCATTAATAACTGCCTAACTACAGCCAACTTTACAAATACCAAACACCCTCAAAACATACAAAATATACAATTGCCAACACCTTCGACGGTAAGACGAGTTTAACGAGCAGTATGCCAATGAACATTTTAAAGCTACACATTTACTTTCTGATTGTATGGATACACAGAATGTGCAACACAACCTGCCCTATCGCAGAAAGATACATACTATCAGAAGTAGATAATAGGGAAGGAGTGTGACTTCAATAAACAAGGAAAATTCGTCATTTACTAGCCTTAGAATACCTACGATTTACTACGCGTAACTCAACCAACTTGAGCTCAAACCGTACACAGTACATTCGCCTAGCATCGTGCGAAATCATTTCCTCGTATACACCCGCAATCCGGAGATACAGACTAAAACGTACGACACGATTCTCCATTCTGTTGCCAGCAAACCGAATACATAACCCACCTAACTTGAAACAATAGGCAGCTAGCTAGTTACGGCTCTTGCGCACTCTTGTGCCCTCGGCGATGCAGTGTGGCTCGCTGGGGGATTGGAGCTGAAGATGCTGCCGATTGCGGTGGGCGTGCCTGCGTGGGGGGTATACCAGCTGTAAATAGGTCAAAGATGAGCTCGCCGAGTGTTGCTTCGATCTCCAATCTCCCAGCGAGCCACACCGCATCGCCCAGGGCACAAGAGTGCGCAAGAGTCATTACTAGCTGCCTATTGTTTCAAGTTAGGCGGGTTATGGATTTGGTTTGCTGGCAACAGAATGGAGAATCGTGTCGTACGTTTTAGT